CAGAACCTGGCACATACCAGATGCTGAGGTGCATTATTTCATTTCTTTTTTCCTTACTCAAAAGCAGGGGTCAGCAAATTTGTTCTGTAAAGGGTCAAATAGTAAACATTGTAGTCTTTGTGGGTCATACAAAAGTCTCTGTCACAACTACTCAACACTGTCATCGAAACATAAAAGCAGCCATAGACAATGAGCAGGGCTATATTGCAATAAAACATTATGTTAAAAAGCAGGCATTGGAGCAGATTCGACCCCTGGGCTACAGTGTGCTAACCCTTATTATTCAGACCACACGTGTCCAGATATCATGGTTTTTTTGTTTGTTTGTTTGTTTGTTTTTGTCTTTTTGTCTTTTTCCGTGTCCGGCAATGGATCGCAACCCTCAGTGTTGCTCCCNATTCTCATTCAAGACTAAGATTCCTCACCTGTAAGGTGGGACCAGTAACATTCTTCCACAGAGTAAATTAAATGAAAGAATTTACTTCAGAACCTGGCACATAGTAGATGCTGAGGTGCATTATTTCATTTCTTTTTTCCTTACTCAAAAGCAGGGGTCAGCAAATTTGTTCTGTAAAGGGCCAAATAGTAAACATTGTAGTCTTTGTGGGTCATACAAAAGTCTCTGTCACAACTACTCAATGCTGTCATCGAAACATAAAAGCAGCCATAGACAATGAGCAGGGCTATATTGCAATAAAACATTATGTTAAAAAGCAGGCATTGGAGCAGATTCGACCCCTGGGCTACAGTGTGCTAACCCTATTACTCAGACCACACGTGTCCAGATATCATGGTTTTGTTTTTGGGGTTTTTTTTTTGTCTTTTTGTCTTTTTCCGTGTCCAGCAACGGGATCGCAACCCTCGGCGTTGCTCCCGCGCCTCGCTCAGCCAGTGAGCGGGAACCGGTCTGTATGTGGGATCCGAACCCTCGGCGGGAGCGCCGCCGCACTTCCCAAGCGGCGCACCATCCAGTGCACCACCGGGCCGGCCCCAGATATCATGTTAAGTTGCTTTTTCACCATTCTGTTTGATTCCATCTGCTCCAGATATGTTCTTCCCTCTTTTCTCCTCATTGCTTTTATTCTACTTCTTGAATATATCAGAACAAATGGTCTGGTTCATTGGATTGACTCATTTTTTCACTTTCAATGTTAAGCTTTGAGAAGCTCTCATCAGGGGTGAGCACTCACACCTGAGATGCTCGGTTAATTCATCCACACACAGGTTCTGGATGAACCAACCAAAGTTGAGCAAAATCCCCTGAACTCTCACAGAGAGACTGGGAAAGGGACCATCCCTCAGGAACTTGCAAAGTTTACTGAGGAACTTTTATTTATGGAAAAGGAAAGTTGCAACTTGTCTCCCAGTTTTAAAAATATTGCTTAATAAATATGTTTGCATTTACTTTTATATGCTTAAACAACGTCTTAAAGGATGTAAGAACTAAAAACACCTATGGTGGGATGAGAACCCACAATGGTGGATAAGAACGGGAGGGAGATTTACTGGATATTTTTAAATATCTATGTTTTTAAATAATGTGAATACATTATCTATTCAAAAAAAATTAATTTTCCCAAAGAATAAAGAATATGTATTAAAAAGAAATCTTTTATAATAACAAAACCAGCCTACTATAAGAAAGACACAAATGAGGGGTGGGGAGTGACAGGAATCCACTAGTCATCTAAGACACTTGTCACCAACCTAGGTGTTATCCTGGGGATCCAGCCCCACAAAGTCCCTTGTTTGTAGTGGACTTCTATGTGCCTCCTGCCTTATGCTCTGTGACTCAGAGAAGACAGGGTAGAGCGCTCAGAGCATGACGATAGGAAGAAACACACCACTCTCCATTTGGTAGAGGTGGAACCAGAAGCAGGATGCATTCTTCAGTATTTTGTCATTTTTTTATATGAGGCCATAACTCTTCCCACAGGGTTCCATAAACCCTCCCTTCTTGTCTCAGCGTGTGCCACAGTTACACACTCACAGCTATCATCTGGTTAAACATCTCTTCTTACAAAAGAAGAAATGAGGCCAGGATACAACATGACGATCTGTGGGCCACACCAGGCTTTAATGACAGAACAAGGCCTAAACCCAGTTTTCTGGATCCCATTCACTTCCTCAACGGCCCCGCTTGACCAGTCTACACCACGGCAGTCCCTTGGATTAGTTGCCACAGGCCAATATCTCTGCCTGGTCACCCGCACTGTTTCCAGAACCATCCTTCTGTTACTGCCAATTAAATCTTTCGAAAAGGCTATCGGAGGCCATGGACTACACTGCTTTAAGTGTACTGGCTCTTGGTTCAAATCCTGGCTTCTCACTTACTAGCTGTGAGGACTTGGGCAAGTTATCTACTTCAGCTTATTCATCTGAAAAATTCCTACCTCCTAGGATATAAGTAGAATAAGCCAGATAAAATACTTGGCACAGAGCCAACCAAACACACAATAAGAGCTCAAGAAACATTAGTTGCTGGGGGTTGTTTTCTAATCTCAGTTGCTTTCAGTGAATTTTCTGTGGATGCCTAGTGAACAAATTCTAATGACCTTGGTGTGGCCTTCAGGGCCTTGCAGCAGCCAGGCCTGTTATATGTATGGAAACTTTCACTGCCCTCTGATCACAGACCTTCCTGTCAGGACAGCTGTCTTTGCACTCCTACATACATCCTCATTCCCATTCCCACCTACCTCTGTGTTTTAGTTTATACTCCTCCTACCTGAAATGCCCACCTTCCTTCTTCCTATCTGTCTAAATCCTGTACATCCTTTAAAGTCCCACTCAAAGTTTAGCACTTCAGAAGAACTTCCCAGGCAAATCCTAGCTCAACTGATATTATTTCTTCTACACAATATTGCAGTATTTCCATACAGTACAGATTGATCACCTCTTACAGAGAGGCACGAAAGCATTTAGTTAATAGTATGGGATCTAGAACAGACTTCCTGATCTCTCTCAGCCTCAGTCTTCTCATCCACAAAATGGGGTTAATATTAGGGTTCTTGTGAGGATTGGATACATACATACTTGATATATGTCTTAGTCCATTGTCTGATGCTATAACAAAATACCTGAGACTGGGTAATTTATAAAGAAAAGAGGTTTAGTTTGGCTCACAGTTCTGGAGGCTGGGAAGTCCAAGATCAGGTGGCTGCATCTGGTCAGCTTCTGGTGAGAGCCTTGTGCTGCTCATGACATGGCCGAGAAGCGGATGGGAAAACAGGCACATGCAAAGGGGGCGAAATACGAGGGGCAGCCTCGCTTCATAACAACCCATTCTCCAAGTAACTAATCCAGTCCCACCAGAGCAAGAACTTACCCACTCCCACAAGAATGAACCAGGTCCCACCAGAGCAGCATTCTTAATGACCTAATCACCTCTTAAAAGCCCCTGCTTCCAACAGTGCCACACAAGGGACCAAATTTCCAACATTTGAATTCTGGGGGAAACCACAGCACTATATGTTAGTAATCACTAATATGTTATTATTATTATATATTTATGTTAACTTTTCCCTCTTTGTTTTATGAAACTACATATTCTTCCTCCAGAAGAAAAATGCATATTTTTCTCCTTCTGTCCACATGCATTATATGTTTACCCAGTGTCTAGTGTAATGCTGGTCCCAGAGTAGTGTTCAACAAAAAACGAATGTAAAAAAAACCGAGAGGAGTTCCAAGCCAGTGACGGGGGTTACATCAATACTCTCCACCCAGTGTGATGGCTCCTGCATCCTTTGTCTCCCCTGCTCTTACAGTTTCCCAGTGAGGGGGATAACTATGACCCCTTTCAGGGAGGCAAGAAAAGAAAGAAGAAAACTGGACTAAGAGTCAGAAGACATGGGTTTATATCTCAGCTTCCCAATTAAAAGGGTCTATCTATCTATCTATCTTAGCTTGGGAAAAACCAGTTAAGTTCACTGAGCCTCTATTTCCATCTCTGTAATCAGAAGACATGGGTTTATATCTCAGCTTCCCAATTAAAAGGGTCTATCTAGCTATCTATCTTAGCTTGGGAAAAACCAGTTAAGTTCACTGAGCCTCTATTTCCATCTCTGTAAAAGGAGAATAATCTGGCATGACCTGCCTTCTTCACAGGAAGGTTGTGAAGATCAAGTAAAAAAATGCATATGGAAGAGCTTTGCACACTGTAAAGTGCTATACAAATGAGGCAAGGCATGGTCATTTCTATGTCATTGGACAAGAAACCATTACAATTATCAAATTAACTCTATTTCCAATGGCCTTCTGAGGAAAAGACCATTGCCACAATAATCATACTGAATCTATTTTGGCCCAGATGCCTCTTAGAGAATCAAATCACAATTTATATCATGAACTCAGTCCAGAGAATTTTGATAAACCTGACCTCAAAGATTTTATCACATTAATAATTCATTAGAAAAGTACAGATTTACCCAGAATGTCAACTCCCCAACCCAGAGCCCACAGGTGGTACATGGTATAGATAGCATGATTACTAGCTAGAGTTCTCAAAAAGGAGAAAGAGTAAAGAAAAACAAAGATTCCAGATAAATTAGAAATGCCTGGTCTATTTCTATAAGAAGTTAACACCAGAGATGTGGGAGGTATTCTAGGTTTAGAACAAATGGCTAAAAGCACTGAGGGTAACTGGAATATTCTATTCATGTACTCCTAAGGTACCTGTATGTGCATAGCTATTGCTCTATTTTATTTTATATTACATGCAAGGGGTCCAGCATTCATCAGTAGCCGTGTTAGGTTTGCGCGATATTGGCAAAGAATTCTACACCAGCAGGGACACATCAAGCTAATGCACTGATAAGGGCAGTTTCTAATGATGCATACTCTGTCACGATGCTGCGATCCCTGTGCTTTTTCTTTTCTTTCTGAATCGTTAGGTTTGTCAAAAATAACAACACATTTTATAACAGAGTGGGGAGGGGTTGACCTCCCAGCATTACTTCCAAAACCCAGGTGAGCAATCATTCAGGCTAAGAAGACCACCTTACCTCTATTTTTTCCCATATGGCTTCATAGTTGTCTTGGTGTTGAATATCTTGCATCAGTTTCTGAATTAAAGCTGATTTAGTGGCAGAATGGCTCTCATTTTTCTCGGAGGATGACATTTTCCATGACTTCTCGTCAATGTATTTTTTCATTCCACAGACAGGCATACACAATTCCTCATCAGAAAGAATGTCACTCAGGGGCCCAGATTCAATGCTCTCCCCCAGTGAAGAGGCTATGTCACTGGATGAGCTTGGAGATACCCTGCCTAGCCTTGTATGCTTCCTCTTGACATGGTATGTTGGATAGATCTCAGAATCTGAATTCATTTCAGAAAGTTCCCAATCATCAATATTCTGAATAGTTTCTCCTCTGGGTTTCTGAGGCAGAAGCTTTGTTAGGTTTTCCAACTTCAAAGCTAAAACTTCTGTCTGCTTGAGGTGAGAGGGCAGTGCTAGGTATTCATCAGAACCATACCAGGCCTCAACAACCTCACCATTCCTGGTGACGTGACTTGGGGAGTAGGAGTAACCTTTTTTGCTTTCATGTTTTGAAAGAAGGGGTACCGAAGACACGATGCTGTCTGAATCAACAGAGGATTCACTGCTCAGAGTAAGAGGTGGCGAACTGGATGTTTCTGACTGCACTGGCAGTTTGGCATTCCGACTTCTCTGCTTACAGGGCTCAAGGGAGGATGAGGAAGCGGAATCTGTCTCTGGCCCCCTTGTGGCCTTGGAAGGATGAGGAGGCATTCCATTCGGCACCACCGAGCTCCCCATGTTTTCAGCTTGCTTGCCTGAGCCTGTTCCCCGTTTAGGTGTTCGGCATGGAGGCACCTCTTCTGAAGTCTTATGTGGCTTTTTAAGTCGAGGTTTCTCTTTATGATAGTCATTAAGTCTTCCCAGGCTGGAAGAGATTTCTTTAATGTGACTTTTGACTGTGTTTTCAAGATTTCCAGCCCCCACCTTGTGCAAACACTCAAAAGACTGGCTGGCAGCAGCAGGGCTGCTGGGGTAGGAAGACCGTAACACCAGGCAGAGCTTGGACCTGTCAGGAGGATCCACCAGCGAAGGAGTGCTCCTGCTCATCTCAGGCTTCAGATCGACCATCTGCCTCTTTCCATCACTGCCTTTCAGATCATTCTTAAAAGTCTCATCTTTAAGGAAAAGTGCTCTTTTTGGCAATGTGGGCTGTGTGGGAGAGTCCTCGTTGTAATTAAAGCAATCTCTAATGGATCGCTTGGGGGTTGCATTCTCACAAGAAGGAGGCTGTTGGTTCTTTGCACCAAGGTGGGAGGAGGAATTGGATTCTTGCTTCACCGTCTCAGAAGAAGGTTGAACAGCATTTGTCAGAGCTTCCCCTGAAGATGACGTCCCCGGTGTTAAGCCTGGTTGCTCTTCAACTGCAGAAGCGTTGTTTTCTTCACATGTGCCTTTGTCATCCACTGAAAGAGATACTTGAGACACCTCCTCACTAACTGCTTCACTGCAGTTGGAAGGGGGGTCAGCAGCCACCGTAAGTAACCCGACACTTCGGATAAGCTCGGGGAACTCCTTTTCCATCTCACTGTAGCTCCAAGAGTCAAAGGGTTTAGTTTTGACCTGGCTAGAGGTCATGTCACCCAGGCCACCGAGCAAATCCTCACTTGGACTGTAGTCAGACAGCTCAAATGCAGTAATACCACAATCCAGAGACAAGTAATTTTGAGAACATTTGATAGTTAACTGTCCTGAGTCATCCACTTCTGTTAGAGAATCAAGCCGACCCTGAAACAGACAATGGCAATGGTTTCAGTAAATGCAATGGCAATTACACTCAACTGCTACTCAAATGAAATCTCAGTACAGGCCTGTATATAGGTCAGAAATGCATCCATCTCAATATATTAATCAATTACTACATTGCTTTATACAGCATCCTATTCTTAAACATTTAAAGATTTTTCTTTAATCTGGAGCATAAAGCCTTAATAGAAATGGTCAAGGTCACATCAAAAATATCCATTATTGCCTTAATTTTCTATTTAAAATAGTGTATTATTCATTTAATAAGAATTTCTTTTTTTTTTTTTCCTTTTTGTCTTTTTTCATGTCCGGCAACGGATCGCAACCCTCAGTGTCACGCCCGTACCGGACCGGACCGGCAACAGGATCACAACCCTCAGTGTTGCACCCGCACCTCACTCACGAGCGGGAACCGGTCTGTATGTGGGATCCGAACCCTCGGCGGGAGCGCCACCGCGCTCCCAAGCGGCGCACTGTAGCAGTGCACCACCGGGCCGGCCCTAATAAGAATTTCTTAAGGGAAGCCTTAAGTTATAAAATTTCTGGGAACAGAGCGATATAAGAATAAAATCTCTATGAATATCTATTTTGCTTTTCACTGTCACTCCAGTACCTACCACAGTGACTAGCTTATTGTAGATGCTCAACAAATATTCTAAAAGTGGAATAATTAATTATACTAAGCCAGTCATGTTAAGTATATATTCACGAATCACAGGGAGGTAAACTACTGAATTTGCAAATATATGAAGAGTTCAAGACCAGTTCTGTTTGGCCCCACCCTTTCAAAGACAAGCACAGGTAATCCTGGAGAAAATTAATGACTGTCAAAACTTTATCATTTTAGTCCCATCTCCTCCTTTTACATGCATTCTCTCCCCCACCCCCATTGATGTATGTTAGATACTAAGTGCACACCTCCCTTATTATTTATAATTCTAGGCTGATTCAATTTGAAACTCCCTCATGCTAAAATATAGTATTACAAGTAAGTATTTTTAATTTCTTAATCTTTCTTTGTGTGACTCAGGCTTTACCTCATTACTAATGCAGTTTCTGATATCATACAACAAATGGAAAGATTTTTGGTTGATGCTTTGTTTAGGGTAGAAGAGCTCTTTGAATCCCATTATGCCTACCAGGCTGAGGGACAGCCTGGTTTTATCTAGCACCCTTAGGAGATGAAGGAAGGAAACTGAAAAGTAAAGGGTCATTATCTCCCCAGACGGCCTTTCTCCCCTTTCTCCTGGAGGAAGAACCAGGGTGAGTCAACTGAGTTCAGATCCCATGTGGCTGCTGGATCCTGTGTTCCTATCAACCAGATTATCCCAAGATCTGCCCTCTCCGGGATCTTACATCAGTTTTTAATGTTCATTTGTTTGTTTTCTTTTTAGAATGTTCTCTCTCATCAAAATTTCACCTTGCCTTTATCTCCCACTCCCTTCAGTCACCCCATAACGTGCAGATAAATAATAATGGCAATAAGCCTCATTTAACTATCCTAAGCCTCAGTTTCCTCATCCGTAAATGGGGATAGCTGATTACTATTATTATTTTTTCATTTAATTCTTACAACTTTCTTCTAGGGTCTGTACTACCATCCATGTTTCACATAAAAGGAGCCTGAGCCAAAAGAAGATACATAAGTAGCCCACAGCCTCATGACTAAGGGCCCAGCTAGGCCTTGGACCATTGCTGTCTGACATGAAGTCCACGCTCTGACTATTGGATATTATTTTAAACTGACATGCCTCCTCCTCCAATTTGTTTTCCACACTGCCACCAGAGTTACCTTTACAAATTGCAAATCTGTTGCTGTAACTTCTCTGCTTAAAGTCTTTTCATAGTTTCCTGTTCTATTAGTTTAAAAACCCAAACCCTTCCAAGGCCAGTCATGAAAAGACCTTTCTGATGCCACTCTTCCCCTTGCTGGCTACAATCAGCCAAAGTGTGTTCCTTTCAGTTTCTGAACACACTATGTTCCCTTCTGCCCCAGGGCCTTTGCACATGTTGTTTGCTGTGTCTGAAACTCTTCCCACCTATATCCCTTAACTAGTTGACTCTTCCTCATTCCTCTGATCTCAGCTTGAGTTTCACTTCTGCAATATTCCAGAGCCCCACCTATTTCAGAAACTTTTATTGTAAGTTCTCAAATTTATGCTGTTTTTTCTTTAAGCATTTATCTCAGTTTATAAACAAATACTGTTGTGATTATTTAACTAATTCATTTCTCCCACTAATTTGTAAGCACCACGAGAATATAAATCACACAGAAAGGCTGACTCACCAGGGTACCTGCAGCACTAAGCATGGAATGTGTAGAGTAAGCATTCAAAGGTACATCTGTTTAATGAATGAATGAATGAATGATGACATTTTGGAATGTCTCTCTATGCCTTCATGTAATTTCTCCCTCTGATTATGTAGTTTTAGTAGACTGTAATAATTAAAAACCCAAGCTTCAGAGTCAAATTCTAGCCCTAGCACTAATTAGCTATGTGACCATGTGCCAGTAGCTTGATTCACTAATCTTCATTTCCTTCACCTGTTAAAAGGAAATGATAAGCATGTCATAGGGGTATTGAGAAGCCTAAGGGATATAATATATGTAAGACACAAATCTGGAACATGGATAAGTAAGTGCTCAATGAATGTTCACTTTTATTACTTAAATTATTATTTTTAGTAGTAAAGTATATTGAGGAGAAAAGTTTCATCAAGATGAGAATATCTCTAATGCTAAATTATACTACACAATGGGAGAAATCAATATTAACTGCCAGTCTCAACAAAAATCATCTAAATGCAATTATGTGACTTTTGTATTTCATACCCGGACTAGGCTCTTCAAAAAAACAAAGTCAGAAGCCAAAAACACCAAGAAATGAGTCAGCCAA